GTTAGCAAGTGATGGATAGTTAGCAGGAGCTTCGAGTCTTCGTCTAATCTGTTACAGTAAACCTGTGCCAAAGCCTGAAGGGAATCAGTGGGGGCTGGCTAGGAGTGGGTTTGACGTGAAACCATTTGTGAAGACGAGCGATTCTCTTAAGTAAGAAACTAACAGTGTCCAGTGAGGGAGAGGGATAGTTAGAGAGCGAGAGAGACAGGAGGTGAGGAGAATGAGTGAGAGTGCGAGAGAGGGAGAGAAGGAGGAAGAGATACAATAATGAGTCCTGTAGCCATGGAGTAAATGAAGAGGGATTGACAGAGTGAGGGATCCTCAAGTGAAATAATGTCAATGCCACTCTGCCCATTAGAGAGAAAGGGGGATGGTGGAGGAGAGGGTAAAGAGGGATGAATGGAGGGACACAGCTACATCTTACGGTGCAGAGGAAGCACATAAATTATTTGTGACACCCTCACAACACACATACCACCAACAAAAATATGAAATATGAAACAACAAAATGAACTGACAATAGCAGCAGGAAAAAATAAAGAAATGAAAACAAAAAAGGCCTTGGAAATACCCAATAAATTCTTTGAGACACGTTGTTGGGATATTTGATGCCGAACAATAATAATCACAGTGACATCTGCCTTGCTGCTCTCGGAGGAGACGGGCAGAGCCCGTGAGTGGAAGGGGTTAATCTTCCAAACCCAATAAGGTTGGATAGTGAGGCACTTGTTCCCCGATAAAGAAGTGATAGGATCTGTGGGTCTGGTCCCTTGGCGCTTGTACAGGGGTAGAGCAAATATTGTTAATGTGCTGTGGTTTACTTCAGCTAAGGCGAGAAAAACAGCTCTGCTTGACGAGAGAAGACAGTGGCAAACATGAATACGACGGGAATGGCCACGGAGCTCAGTTCACCCTCCCAGGGACTTAACTGGCACATATATCCAAGCCCATTCAGTTGCATAAATAAGTGTTCGGGAAGATTAAGATCTATAAGTGTCTCTATTTCTCGTTTTACCTGCTCCGCCTTGTCACAACAGGGATCTGAATGCAGTTCAGTGAAGTGCCTAATAACTGGAGCAGTAGGTAGGGAAGGCAGGAGGCTTGACATTAAGACCCTGGCGTTTTGGAAATCCGATACGCTATTGACCCGTGTACTACTATCTCAGCGTAGAGATCTGGTGTCAGCAGATTGTAGTCTGGTGTTGGGAACCGTTTTCTTACAGGGCTCCTGTAACAGGGGCCCATTGAGTCTGGGAGGCAGCTGGGGCCTGATGGGCTGGAGCTGGGTGGTGATCGATACTCACCGCCCTGCAACGGATGACCTCACTGTCATGGCTGCCGGCTGTGGACACTGCATGCTAGTCATTAGTGCCGGGGCACCAATCAGGAGCTTAGAGTTGTCAATACCTGACTCTTACAGAAACCATGGCCATCTGTCAGTGTATTGTGTAGCAGCCTAAGTAAATATGGGCAAGCTCTTTTGAACAATAAGAACAAGGTGTACTATTAGAGAACGGAAAATATATCCTCATGTAAGCAACTAAAGAAACTGGTGGGTGAAAACACGTTTTAAAAAAAGCTGACTTTTTTTTGTAAGTCATAAAAAAATCCGAAAAAGAAATGGATGAAAAAAATGTGAATGAAATTGACAGGACAGCGAGCCTCCACTGTCGATAGAGCCTTCTTAATAATACAACATTATCCTTATTTGCCCTCTTCACTCAAATCAAAGGAATGGACATTTATGCATGAGTGACATCAACCCGGCAATTAAGTTGGTCATTTAAACGAGAGAGGGCCTTCCTCACCTCGCCTGTTTGTTTTTCCCCCCCCTCTCCCTCTCTTCTTTTTTTCCTATTCCTCTTCTGTTTGATGATGGGAGAGGGTGAGCTAGAATTAGGGCGATGGGTCTTCCTTTGAGTGTCAGCCTAAAATGATCAGAGTAAAGATAAGAGGGTCTAGCAGCCCTCAAATCAGTCAAAGTGCCAAAGTCGGCCTTTTTCTCCTCAATTACCGGGTCTGTGAAGCCAGGGAGTGGAAGGCGCAGAGCCTGCTGCATTACTAAAGAGACAATCTATTTCCCCTTTGACCAGAGGGAGAGAAATCATTATGGCATGATTAGTAGCTTCAGCAGTGGGCGAGCATGGAGGTACTACAGGAGAATCGTATTAATTGCCTTAGACCAAGGCATGAGCAGGATTGTTTTAATGTTGATTTGTGGACCTGTATGACTAGCTGTCGGAGATAAAAGCTGATGTCAGGTCTTAGTTATACTGGCAGACTTCGGGCATGCAGACAGAGAGGGTTGATGTCAGAATGAGCTTCTGTGGCTACACTGAAAGTCTTTCTCTATATGCCTGTCAATGTCTTCCTCTTTGTCTTCCTTCACACTTCGTAGTTTTCCTCTACGCCTCCCTCTTTCCTTCCCTCTACTCCTCTCTTTCTCTCAGATGGACTACACCCCAGCCCACCCCTTCCCATACACCCTTTCTCTCTCTCGCTCTCCTCCAACTGATAGCTGCCTTGGCCGATTATTTCATCCAGTGCGGTCCACTGAGAGCCTCCTCTCCCGGCTTTGGAAGAGCTTTAATTAGCCATGTTAATATCCCCTTCATTGGCCTTAATATCACTCAACACCTTCCTCCATCTCAGCGGCCACCAGGGTCCCCCTGTCCTGTCAGAACAGCTGATTATTGAGAAGGATAGCTTTAATCAAACCTAATTGCAGTTCATTCTTTCTCTCTATCCCCCTTTGCCCTCCATTGCCAACATCTAATGGCAGCGACGACTTGATATCCCATTAAAAAACAATTAAACAACCTCCTTTTGTCTCTGTGCGTGCCAAAACACCAGCACAAACTTCTGTAGATATTTAAGAAGTAAAAGAGAGAGAGAGGGGCCTTGTCTTAATTGCTCTCCTTTTCACCAAGGACCAATTTGCACTGTGCTCATGGAGAATCTTAACCAACTCAAATGTAATGGATGCTATAGCGCTGCCACTGCTGTGGACTATGAAAATTAAGCTTATCTTTTTAGGAGAGAAATTGTGCTTAATTGCCTTCATAACAGTAAACATAAAGGAGCTACTTTATGATAGCGTGGGCACTCAATTTCTTGTGTTTATTGTTTCTTAACTTTTGGTTTTGCTGTAGTGGGAACAGTATGTAAAAGCATTAAAGTATCCCAGAAAAGAGACAAGACTAACTCTGAAAGTAATGTGTTTCTTTTATGAAGTCAATGCATTGCTTGGGAAATATATTCTATCTCTTGCTTTGACATAAATTGTTTACCAACCGGTGATGGATGTACGTGCGCATGCCTGCACGCACATATGCATGTAGATGTGTGCACACGCGCACATAAATACGCACCACCCGCCTTGCCCAATCTATATGAGAGGCGACAGACAAATAAAAGTCGTATTTCAGGTCTGCTTTCCGCAGATGTCTGCTGCTCTACATTATGGCTCTTTGGGGAAATAAAAACAGGGTCAGGGAATTAGAGTACATAATGGTCATTTTGATGATCAGCCAACAGATGCAACCCGAAAACACAGTGAACACAATCAAGCGAAATGCACTAATGACAAGTCAGGTTTTTTATGGCCTCACCACACACCGACAGGCAATCAGCATTCTGGCATGGGTTAAAACGTCTTTTATTGATGTCCAAGCCAAAGCTTCTTGGATGTGGAGTGAAAATATTTTCTCACCTCTCCTCTCCCTCCTGGGCCCTCCGCGAAGCACAAGGTATAGGAGTCTATCGAAGAACGCTTCTAAATGACCAGTGCATGTGTTAATGTGGCCGGGGTTAGAAGGGTCATTTCAGACTCTGATTTATGGCTTGGCCAGGATCCCACTGGGCGAACGAGAAGTCTTAAGTGTTGTGAAAGCGTCCTCGCAGGCCACACAAGCCACTGTATTTAGCTGAATGAAATGTCCGTGCAATCTATGGTGCAATCTATGGTAATCCAATGAGCCGCTGCAATTCTGTGAGTCAAGTTAGTATTACAATGAAAACCGCAGTATTGCATATAGTAATGCTAGTGCAATGTGATGAAAAATAAATATCACAGCACTGTATTTATAAAGAATCGGAGAAAGCAAAGGCGCAATCAGTCATGATTCTGTGGGGAGAATTTGCAAAAACAACAAGTCGATTTCATTGTTTATTCTGTGTGGTTGTGCGGGATTTTACACAATGGGCTACATCTGAGATAATTTCTCTTATTGGTCTTGTTTTTAGTTTTCCTCTCTTTAACTATTTGATGTCTGTAAAGCCTCATCTGATATAGAACTCTCAGTACGAGGGCTTATCAATAAATTCAGCAAGACCTGAGAAGGCGGCTTACAAACTAAGCAAGCCCAGATCTTACTCAGACGTGACATTTGTTCAGAGACGATTAGCCAGGTTGTAATTTGTGGCATAATTGCCTCACCCACCCACAAGAACATGGGTGTGTGTATGCGTTATGTGTGTGTATGTGTGTCTGTCTGTGCGCGTGTGTGTGTGTGTGGCATACGGTGGTCCCAGGAGTGTCCGCCTAATTGCCTGACAGGACTATAAGTTTTGTGGCGCGCTCTCACCTTGTTAGGTCCTTTATCCCTGATGCTCTTCAAACAAGACCTGGTCACAGGTGGGCCTCATTTGCTTCCCTATTGAACAGGAGAACTTTAATTGCACTGGGGGTGTCCTGGGATTAAAGCGGTGGGTGGAATATCAAGTGACTTCCTATATGTTAGTGGCAGATGGGAGTTGGGAAAGACCCGTGAACTCAGGTGAGAGGATGAGATCACAAACAGCTCTAGATTTTGAAAGAATAATAAAGAGTGCGACTTCTCAAACCGAGATACCGTCATGCTCACACGGTGAATGAATGAATGTGGAAAATGGGTGTGCTTGAGAAATCCTGTTGAAATATTCTGTCACCTTGCCAGCTAAAATTCCAGCTTCAAAAGTATAATTAATATTTTTGCTTTTTCTTTTCTGCTCTCTCACAGATTCTTCCTAAAGTTCTTTCTCAAGTGCAATCAGAACTGTCTGAAGAATGCAGGGAATCCACGAGACATGCGCAGATTCCAGGTGACTGAAATCTATTTCACACATATGCTCTATTTCTGTCCCTGTCTTTCACTGTCTCGCTCTCTTTTTGCAGACACGCACGCTCTCACACACACACAGGTGTGCAAATGCACAGCCACAGCTGCTCCACTATACTAAGTCACACTGACACAGATTCACATATGAATACATTTTTATTATTGGCACTGAAGGAGGCAAAAACCAGGCAAAGAGAGAGAGAGAGGGATTTTGTGTCCTGTGTGCTCTTGGACAGAATATTTATTAGGGAATACCATCTGACACAAATAAGGATATAGGATTTAAGAGTGCCATCAATTGTGTCCCTGACAGCTTTCTGAGCCTCTGCACAGAGGGGAGGACGATCCAACCAAATGTAACAACAGTGTTAACTCACGAACTGTCTGGCAGCGGAAACGCATACCTTCTTGCACACGCATATCTGCAAGCACGCCCACAGGCAGACACACACACATAGACATATAGATAGATGGGATACACGCTAGGAACCCTTGCATATATGTTTATCCACATATGCATGTACTTTATGTCAAAACCATGCTTTTAAAAAAATAAGAAAACATTATTGTAAGCTAACAAAATGCTGCCAGTTAAAATACATTTTTACTGTCTCTTAACTCAGTCTTATCTAAAGTGTCAAATAGTTAAGCCTTCAAATGATTGACTCCCTGTTGTTCCATTTGTCTACCTATCCTACTCAGCAGCCCACATCACCACAAGCAGCCCACTAGGTCAAGGTGAGACAGTGAGAGTTTAGTGTGATTTGTCCTATCAGGGTAACGACAGCCTACAGGAGGGCGGCCGTCACTGGCAGCACTGTTTTGTGATAGACACATAAGCCAGCATCCTCCAGGAGGAAGCCCAGATATGAAACAGACAAGACAGGGTGTCCCCTCCTGATGTCACTACCATCAGACCTCCCCTGCCTCTTCAAATCTTCCCTCAGGCTGAATGTGGACTGATGCGTGACAGCCACCAAGGGCTTTCACCTCTCACTCCTATATGTCAAAAGGAATGCAAGAACTTTTTGCATCACTCTTTTTGTGCAACTATATTATTTTCTCAAAACAGAAGATGTTTTTACTTTTTATTATCATCGATTGCCTTTATTCCAGCAGTTAGTATGTCATTTGCCCTAAATAGATTTCCCAGATGTGCCACCGTAGGTGTTTCTCTGGCTAAAGTTGTGTATTTTGCATGCCTTCCACTCTTCTTATTACCCCAAAACCAGCTGGAGGCCAGAAAGGGCCCAATCCATCATCCTCAGCTTGGCCCAGCTCTGAACCTGCTCACAAGAATGGAGCTCTTTCACTTCCCCTTCTCTCCCCTCCTCTCCCTATACCCCCACCTACCCCAAACCAACCAAAAAAAGCACCCCCCTAAATTCCACTGCTACACCGAGGTCACTTACCGGCGAAGCAAACCTGAGAGGGGCTCTCTGTTTCCGGCTCAGAAACACTTTGGCCATTCACATGTGGCTCACTGTTTGGAATGTGGTAGCCAAAAAAACAACAACAAAAATAAGCATTATGAAATATGGAGTATGGCTTGGAATTTGATCCTAGTAAAATGTTTGCTGAGAGATGGGATAGAGCACTGTTCAGTTGCTAATGACTCCAGTAATATTTTAAAAGGGAGGCCTTCCATCCTCAAAGAGATGGACAAGCTGATCAATAATACCGAGCTTCGCCTATGATGACAGTTGGTAGAGTGGGTAAACGGAAATGGTATTTTAGTGATCGAAATGTCAATTAGCTGTACACAAATGCACGACAGTAAAAAGAAAAAAGGAAATGGCAGGGAGGGGAGGTTGATGTAATGTGATCTGTCCAAAGAGGACAACCAATTCATGAGCTTTAGCACCTGGACACAACAAACTACTCATACATCCCTCAGAATGTCCCTAAACCTTTACCAAAATGTACTATTATCACCTTCAAACTTGCTCAATGACATGTTTTGCTTTTATTCCTCTCGCAGGTTGTCGTATCGACGACCGTCAATGTGGACGGCCATGTCTTGGCTGTCTCTGACAACATGTTTGTACACAACAATTCCAAGCATGGGCGAAGGGCTCGCAGACTCGACCCTTCAGAAGGTACGCCTCCTTATCTGGAGAATGGTAGGCACATTTTTACATCTTATAATTTGCTACGCTCCTTTTTCCTCATAGTTTCTTTCAGACACCCTCCCATTTTTTTCCTCCCAGATCACACACCTAGTTGCTTCTAGTTGCTTAGAAGCTTTCGTTCCTCCATCACTTTCATTTTTTTTCACTTTTTAAGTTGCTTTTGGCCTCACTCATACCTGCTGTTATGTCTTGATTGGAAGCAACATGCATTAGTCAGTGTTTATCATTTCAGTATCGCCAGCGAAGATGATAATACTCGGACTAATTCACTCTTTTAAAATGTTATACTACTTCCAGTCTCCTTACGCACCTACATTTGTCTTAAAAGCCAATGTGAAACATGATCAAATTGCTGAAGAATTTGGCTGTGAGGTCAATTTCCTGCCACTGGGTTCTGCAGTTTTAGCTGTGAGAGAACTGAAACAGGGGGAGGAAGGAGAAAGACAGAAAAGAGGGGGGAGGTAAGGGGGGTTGCTAGTGTGTGTGTGTGTGTGTGTGTGTGTGTGTGTGTGTGTGTGTGTGTGTGAAACAGAGAGAAAGAGAGAGAAGGAGAGAAGGGGTGTGGGGGGTGGCCTATGAGAAAAACAGAACTTACTGTTTTTCTTCCAACTGATTCCATATGATAGACTGATTGCCTTCTCAGCCAAAAGAGAGAAAAGTAGGACCACCAAACCATGGGAAATCCAAAAAGTAAAATGCACTAAACATAACCTTCTGACCCTTGTGGCCTCCGCTTGCAGATGGGAGCACACACAGCTGAAAGACTGCAAGGAAAAAAAGAAAGAAAGAAAAGTTAACTGACTTAGCCCAATTGTGCAAATTGCTTATTTTCAGATTTCAAGGGCCAATTATGCCTGGGCAAACAGTTTATATACACCACTGACTAAAACAAGCTTCTCTACACATTAATGGGCATTAATGGTTCTATCACCAAAAGCAAATGTAATGTTTAATACAACAACGACTAATACAAAAAAAAAAGAAAAAAAAAAGACCAGACAATTAATATATCTCAGTGCTCTCCAGTCCTAGTGGGGGAAAAGCTAATCTATTTGTTTTTGTCTTTATTAATGACTCCTCTACTGGAGAACAAAATCAAATAATTAAAGTCCTGCCCGGAGCACCAAAGTCATTATGTTCCCTGACGTTCTGTTTGTGTGTTTCACGTTTATGACACGATAGGTGTGGATCGCCTAGCAACCAGTTTCTTAATGAGGAGAGCAATTAAAGAGGTTGAGCCCTCGCCTCCATGTTCCCCCGCTCCCATGGGACCCCCTGCGTTGTGTGTGTGTGTGCGTGTGTGCACGCTCGTGTTCTTTACAGGTTACCCTAACCCATCCTTTTTTATTCTACCCTTCACCACACTCTTCAAAGCAGCAGAGTGACGCCCCGTAAAGCAAGAAAAGAAGCCATTGTCAACCGCCCAGTTGAACATGTCTTTGTCTAATAACTTTAATACACCTTCCCTCTGCTTAACTGTGTGTGCTCACACAAGTTGAGATTTGTTTTTTCTCTTTTTTCCCCCCTCCCTCCCTCTTAGGCTCGGCTCCATAACAAACTAATTTAACATGCATCAACTGCGATTGCTCACTTTGTTTGCGTCACCTTTAACAAACAGAAATGTGACACATGAGAAAAGGAGAGCCGGTCATAAAATGTAATTCCAGCCATGTCCTCCACACTGCTTTGACAACTAGCAGGCAGACAGCATGCTTTAAATTAGCAACACATTCTTCCTTGGGAGTTCACTGGGCGAGAAGCCTTAGATATGTGACTGGCTGACTGACTGTGTGGCTGAAACACAGAGGCATCCTTCCTCTCGGCTCACACCGCACTTGCACGACTGCCTCGCATTGATCAAGAAGTGCTGCCCCCTGTTGGCACAGAGGGGCCACAGCCTGTGGATGACAGACTGAATCTTGCCATGTGACATTTTTGTTCACTTGTGTGTACTGTCACACAACAAGCATATTATGCATTCAGACATGGATGTTCTTTGTGGCTGCCTGTCACTCAAACATGTATAGATTCAGGCTCAAAGGTGCATAAACATGCTCACAAATAGCTGAGTCTTTCACACAGAGCACCCCCCCACACACACACACACACAGACACACACACACACACACACACACACACACACACACATACCCACACACACACACAGACACACACGAACAACCAGCACTGACACACACAGAATTTCTCTCTCTCTCTCTCTTTCTCACTTACTCAGACACACTCGCGCACACACACGTTCCTTAGCTCAGTTCCACCATTATAGAGCCCCAGACAATATAGGAGACTCAGCATAGAGCCTGCAGCGCCTGCCTCATTTGCATGCCAAGTGGCTGTAATGCTGTTAGGGTTTATGCAATAAAGACAAGTGAATCCAGACTGCTGGGCCTAAGAGGAAGAAAGAGAAGGAGAAAAGAAGGGGGGAAAAAGGAGAGGAGGAAAGGAGAACGAGAAGGAGAGAGTATGAGAGAGAGAGGCTGAGAGTGAGCGAGAGAGAAAGAGAGAGAGAGAGAGTCAAAGGGAACAGATGGCCCAGGGAGAGGTAAAAGGTATAATCCCATCAGCTGCACTATCAACCGACCATCTGGACATCCCACAGCACAATTACAACACATTTCAGCAGGCAGAACAAAGGACGGCTTCACGGGGCCACATCAGACCTGTTTGAGTGTCACAATACTAGAGCTAGGACCTCCTCCGCTCAGATCTTGGATCGGTTTTGACGTCCTCCGCGGCTAACCCTAACCAGAAACGACAAAGATTAGAGCAGATCCCAGATCAGCACCCCGCGATCAATTCACAGTGAAGGCGATCTTGGAAAAAAAAAAAAGTCAAGCAAACAAACAAAAATGGACAAGGGTAACGTTTTAGCAAACAGAGAGAGAGAGACAAAAGAGCCCCCAAAACAAGCCATGACATATGAATTCAAATTCAGTGAATTTCCTCAGCTGTAGCCCAAAGTTTGCAAAAGACTTAGTGGTGCAACACTCAGAGCGGCAGGGCGGCTCTTTGCATCCTCATCCGTCCACTCCTCATGATGCCTATCATCTGCTGAGGGGGCATTGTGCGTGTCTGTCATCAGATCGCCTGCGCTGACTGTGTAATCCACTTCGCCACGGTCCCCATTCAGCACATGCTTCCCTCTCTGTCTGTGCATTGAGACATATGCAAATTTTTAGGCAGAAGGGTGGACGGCTTAGGGCCTCAGTCGCTGCCTCACCATGGGTCCTTCTGCGTGTGGGAGGGGGCACTGGGATTTCCGAGGTAGTGCGTCTGCGTGTGTGTGGTTTTGTGTGTGTGCGTGCGTGATTGTGTGTGCGTGTCGCAGGTTCCAGGCTGCAGCTGCCCCCCAACAGTCACCGTCACCATCAGGCCCTCTTCTTGCCTCCTCCTCCTTCCTGCCCCCCTCGCTCTCTCATCCCCAAAGTCAATTTGTTTACAGTAATTTTGAAGGGTGAATTATTTGCTGTAATCGTCCGCACTGATGAAGGTCAGGCCCTTAGAGGGGGCCCAGCATGCCCATAGAGGGTTGGTCCTCTTTCAGACGCTCTGCTTCGCAATTAAGGAAAGCAAATGTCACTCCTCCAGGCCTCACAAATGAAAATCTGTACGAGGTGATTAGCATGAAGTCAACAGCGCCTGTTAAAGTCAGATTCCCTGTAGTACCAATGTGTGTGTGTGCACTTTATGGGCACGGAGAGAGAGCAAACATGACCTGAACAGACCCAACAGCAAGGCAAACAAAGGGAGATGTCTTGTCTGAGGTGATCCATACAACAATGGCTGACTGTGATTTACTTACTGGATGGAAAGGATAATAGAGGTTTAGAAGTGAGCTTGTAAAGGGGAGAGAAAAAAAAGGAACTTGCAAAATAGTTGCTCGTATTTTGAGGATAAGGGAAAACATGCACAATTCATAGTGTGTTAAAAGATATTGATGGAAATAGATTAAATTTGATATTGCTATTTTATGGCTAGCTGTCATGCTATTTCTGTTGTAAACACAGTGTTGTGCTGAGCACCATATTAAGGTAATGCATCAAATGACAGTGAATGTGAGGCACCAGATCACTCAAATTAGATTATAATAACAACCCAGACTGTTGATGAATGGCAGAGCTACGTAGCAGAAGTCATGCCAGATGAAAAGCATTGTAATAAACAATATGAAATGGATTGAATCGATCACAAAAAGAGAGAAAAAAAAACACACAATCTGAATAATTCATGAGTGCATTTCACGTTATGAAACCTGAAACTACGCTCACCGCCTGCACTGTACTGCACATGAAGAACAAAGGTAATGAAATAACATGAACCAGCAAAGCTTTAGCTTGTCATTTCCACTTTAACAGCCTGTATTCTTGACTCATTTAAGATGTGTTCAACTTTGAAATTTTACTGTACATGCGGGTGCATGCTTAATCAATTCTGATAGCTACATTTGCCCTGACACATAATTTGCTCCATCAAATCATTTTCCTGGTGAGCCTGGCGTTTAGCCTTTGTGAAGTGGACCATTTGAAGGGTCTGCTTAACTACACCACTCCAGCGCACTGATAAATGATTTTGATTCTCGTGCCTTAAAGGACAAATCCATCATTTTTTTTCCAGGGGCAATTTCCATGATATGTCTTTTGTGAGAGAGATATGGAGGGCTCAACGTAGAGGTGGCGCAGTAATGTGTCTGAGTGGAAGGAGACGCGAGGCCTAGTGTTGAAGCTTAGGTGCTGAATTTGCTCTTCTCTTTGTCTTGGATAAGCAGCCACCCCATGCATCAAGGCTATCAGTCCCAGTGAGGGATGGACCACTGGAGGTGCCACTGTCATCCTCATAGGGGACAACTTCTTCGATGGCCTACAAGTTGTGTTCGGCACCATGCTTGTATGGAGTGAGGTACGATGTAGAATTTCACATTTTATACTCAATTGAAACCCATCCACAATATTAGAATAATAATTATTAAGACAAACTTTCGAGCAAGTAATGACCGCTTATACCCTCTTTTCTTTTGCTTTTTTTAAATCTCTGTGATCCAGCTCATAACTCCCCACGCCATCCGCGTCCAGACTCCACCTCGGCACATTCCCGGTGTTGTGGAAGTAACGCTGTCCTACAAGTCCAAGCAGTTCTGCAAAGGCGCCCCTGGAAGATTCGTCTATACCGGTGAGTCAAAACTTCCTCCACCCTGCTCTCCCTTTTTCTACAGGCTTATTCATGTACCCCCGCTTTTCCCCCTTCCTTCTGGATGGAGCCCCCAGCCTTAAGTCCAGGCACTAATAATGAACTAACCGTCCGACTTGCTGAATGTTGAATGTGTGAGATTTGCACTGCTCGTGAAAAGCTGTTGTGGAGGGGGGCGACTACAAGTGCAACTCGATCCCTCTCTGACCTGCCACCATACAAGGTCGTTGCCAAGCTCTGTTAGAATCAAGCTGTCAGGAAAGTTATTTCTGCCAGTTCTCTTTATCTGTTCTTTAGTGAGACAGATAATGCTTTCTGTTAATGAGCCAATTTTTTATAAGCCAAAATGTGATTTCCTTTTTTTTTTTTCTTACAATAAATCAGATTAGAAAAGCCATATCTACTGTAGGTTAAGTGCACACATATATCTGGTTATTCTCATGTATGCTGAACATGAATTCATAGGAGAGAATTAACGGCAAAGAGGGAGAGATATGTACGTGAGAGAGAAGGGGAGTGTGTGTGTCACACTCTAAGTAAAGGATCTGATTATCTTGGCTAACAGAAGGAAGTGGTGGTCTTATCTGTCATCATTGGTGAGGAGACAGAGGTTCTGGGGGTCAGAGCCTGTCTGACCTGGAAGCCTCTGACTGTTCCAACTCTGATGGGCAGAATGAAATGGGGGTGCGTCAAGGCACTCACACTTCCCCCTGCACTCCCAAGCCTCCAAGCACAACCCTGGCCTTGCTACGCTCAAGGCCAGGGTTGTGC